GCGGCCAGCCACACGTGAGCCGAGCTGTCAGGGCTCAGCCCAGCATGTCTTCTGCACAGCTCTTCATGTAACTGGGGAGGGGGTAGCCCTCAGGGATGGACCCCATCCCTCTTTGAGGTGCCAGGTCTGTCTGCTGACAGATCGGCGGGTGGAACATCACCGGCTCCTGGAATCAGGCCAGCTTCATGGAAGTACTCAAGATGGTGTCAGGCACGTACCGGGCGACCCCCTTCTTCACGGTATACGTGGGTGCAGACTCCAAAAGCTCCAACAGCAACATCATCCAGGTTGGCACCTTGGCACTGAGGGGCGGTGGGCACCAGGGGAGCACGGGGCTGCCCATGCTGCCCCTCTCTTCCCTCCAAGGTGGACCAGTCGGGGCTTTTCCTCCCATCCCGGGATTACTACCTGAACAAGTCCGCCAACGAGAGGGTGAGGCTGGGCATGGGGCACGCTGCCAGCAGCAATTGGGGGAAACCCATGGCAGTGGGGTGCAAGCAGCAGTGGGGTGTAGCTGGCACCTACACCCTGCTCATCCGGTGGCTCAGGGCCCAGGCACGGTGCCCCAGCAACGGGTCAAACCCCGCCGGGGAGGTGTGATGAGCTGTGGCTGGTGCTGAGCCGGGGCTCGGCATCCCGCCAGGTCCTGGCAGCATACCTGGACTACATGGTGGAGCTGGGCACGCTGCTGGGGGGTGGCCCGGAGCCCACCCGTCTCCAGATGCAGCAGGTGCTGGACTTCGAAACCCAGCTGGCCAACATCACCGTGCCCCAGGCTGAGCGGCGGGATGACGAGAAGATCTACCACAAGATGAGCATTGCTGAGCTGCAGGTGGGCATGGCCTGGGGCAGCCCGGGGAAACCCTCTGGGGATGCAAGGGGAGGTTGTCCAGTGGGACACCGAGGGGTCTGTGCCTGCTGCTGCCCACCCCCCAGGACACCCCAGGCAGCCCCATCCATTCTGGAACATGTGCTGGGTGCTGGAGGGAGGTGCTCCTCTCCCTGGTTGTTAGGATCTGGGGGGAACTGCCACCCTGCATGCAGGGGTCCTGGGGTCCCCTCCTTGTCCTGCAAGGGACAAGGCAGCAGGGCAGTGGGGAGCCACGGGAAGGGTGCTTGGAGGCAGAGAAGGGATCTGGGGTGGTGAGGGACCTTGGGACCTTCCCGGAGAGTAGAGCCCCTGCCCTGGGGGATTCCACCGTGCCAGGCAGGATGGGGCAAAGCCATGCCAAGCACCAGGTGCCATGTCCCCATCTCCCCTCCAGGCCCTTGCTCCTGCCATCGACTGGCTGGATTACCTGTCCTACGCCCTGGCCCCACTGGAGCTGGCGGACACGGAGCCCGTGGTGGTATACGGGGACACCTACCTCCAGCAGGTCTCCGACATCATCAACGGCACCGACAAGAGGTGAGACTCCCGCAAGCCCCCGCCCATGCCCCATTTGGGGCTGCTCCCATGGCGGAGGGCACATTTTAGGCTCGCTGGTGGCTTGGAGGCTGGGGCATCCCCATGGCTTGTGGTGAGCCACAGTGTCTCTCTGTCCCTGCAGCATCCTAAACAACTACCTGATCTGGAATCTGGTGCAGAAGACAGCCTCTAGCTTGGACCAGCGCTTTGAGACAGCCCAGGAGAGGCTGCTGGAGACGCTCTATGGCACCAGGAAGGTAATGGGGGGGCCCTGGGACCAACCTCCTCTGCCCCCAGCCTGGAAGCAGCCAGGACCACCTCTGCCCTTGGGATGCCCTTGGAATGCTGAACTCAGAGGAAACCCAGGGACCAACTTTTGGGGTGGGGGTTTAGCTGCTGAGCATCTCCACTCTGAGGAGGGGGCAGAGCCGGACTGGGGGGAGGGGAACATTGGAGGGGGCTGGGCATCTCATGGACCCGCATCTCACTTCCACAGTCCTGCACGCCCCGCTGGCAAACCTGCATCTCCAACACGGACGACACGCTGGGCTTTGCCTTGGGCTCCCTCTTTGTCAAAGCCACCTTCGACCGGGACAGCAAGGCCATTGTGAGGACACTTCTGACACCCTCCTCCCCCCATCGCTGTCCATGGGAACCCACCCTTTCCCCCCCAAACCCCAGGGCGGGAAGGCAGGGAGCAGGGAAATGGGACCCCCAGCCCCAAGGAGGTCGCATCCTGCCCACCCTGCCCCTGTCCGAGGGGCTGCAGGGGGGCAGGGGGCTTCATTCCCTCCCCTCCCCAGGCTGAGGAGATGATCAGTGAGATCCGGGCGGCTTTTGAGGTGTCCCTGGACCAGCTGGACTGGATGGATGAAAAGACTAGGCAGGCTGCGAAGGAGAAGGTGACTACAGGGAGGGCAGTGGGTGGGAGACCTCCCCCCATCCTGGTAAGCCCCGCCACCTCATCTCACTACTGGGGTCTCTCCCCACACAGGCAGATGCCATCTACGATATGATCGGCTTCCCTGATTTCATCCTGGACAACAAGGAGCTGGATGATGTCTATGATGGGGTAGGGGAGCACCCAGCTCATGAGAAGGGGATCTGGTCCCTGCTCACGCCAAGCCCAGGGAGCCCCATGGTGGGGTGATGTCCCTATTTGGGGGACCCATTTGGGACGGGGTGTTACATGGAGCCAACCTGATACCAAGCACATTCTGGCCAGGGTGGGGGGAACCACCCCAGTGGACCCCTCCTCATCCCTCCTCTTCCTCACCAGTACGAGGTCTCAGAAGACTCCTTCTTCCAGAACATGCTCAACTTCTACAATTTCTCCGCCAAAGTGATGGCTGACCAGCTCCGGAAACCCCCCAACCGCGACCAGTAAGGAGGAGGGCCCGGTGGGGGCAGAGGATGTGACACCGGCACAGTGTCACAGCCCTGTCCCCAGTATGGCCTGGGTGGCACTGGTTCAGTGGGATGAAGGTCCCCCCATGGGGTAGCACAGCGTTGTGGGTCACCCATGGTGGGTCTGGCTTGTCCCCAGCACAGGGTCCCTTGGTTACAGGGCAGGGGCAAAAGTGCCAGCCCCAGGCAGGGCAGCACAGGGGACCCGTGGTGGGAGACAGCACAGGAGGGTGCTGGGGCTGGGAGGGGAGAGGGGACACATCCCTGCCTGTGCCCTGTCCCACCTCCCTGCCCCAGGTGGAGCATGACCCCGCAGACCGTCAATGCCTACTACCTGCCCACCAAGAACGGGATCGTCTTCCCCGCCGGCATCCTGCAGGCTCCCTTTTATGCCCGC